GATCCTCTAAGACGACCCACCTCCATTGACTGAAATCTAAAAGAAGGCCACACACTTGGTTTAGCAAGAACCTTTACTAAACATGCATCCTCCAGACCAAAAACCACCTTCTCCACTCTATGGGACTTCATACTCTCAATTGCCCATATCAATGCTTTAAACTGAGCATCTTTTTTGTCCATCACCGAAACGAGAGCACAACGACTATGAAGCACCACATTGCCTTCATAGTCTCTTAAAATCCACGACGCCCCAGCCAATCTGTTTCTACTGGACCAAGAGACACCAACGTTACATTTCAACCACTCTTTAGGTGGTCTCTTCCACCTTTTCAACAAATGATCAGTTCCACAGTTTTGGGAAACCCGCCTTGGCTGATCATCACTATTCCCACCATTCTCATCCTCTTCCTCTACTACTTGCGCCTCTGCCCATTCTTTCCAATCCTCACAGCTTTTTTGAACAGTTTCTATTGGAGAGAATGTTTTGGCTTCAAAGGATACCAGGTTCCTATTCTTCCAAATCCGCCAAAGAGTCCATGGAAACGTTCTTTTAAACTCTTCAGGCCAGTTGACATTCCTTTGGTTCTGCAACAGGTAATAAACATTTGAAAAAACAGAACCATTTTGAAAGCCTTCCACAGGAGAAGGAATTCCAGAGAGCGCCCAAACTTGTCTAGCCCATGAACAAGTGAAGAGAACATGGTTTATGGATTCATCTTCCTCTCCACAGATTTGACACAGATTGTCAGTCCTCATACCTCTAGAAATCAAGGCAGTAGCCACCGGTAATGCTCCACTAAGTATCTTCCACAAAAAGACCTTAATCTTTGGATCAGTTTGGAGATCCCAGACTTGGGCCTTGACCGGGTTAAGAGAAGGTAACCTATTAGCCTCTTCTCGAGTCGTTTGGTTTGAAGACAAGGCTGCTAGCCAATACGCAGATTTGACTGAGAATTCGCCACTCTTGTTATGTCTCCATGAGTAAAAATCTTCACTCTCTACAACCGGTTTGATCTTCTTTATTCTTATGATATCAGCCGGCAGAAAGTGATACTCTAGAGCCTCTTCATCCCAATCTCTCTTATCTCTATCAATCAGCTCTGAAATTCTAAGGTCTGGGTTGAAATAATTATTTCTCCTCCAAGGAGGCCTCATTAGCCCATCTTCTAACCAAGCATCAATCCAAACCTTAAAAGACTTTCCATTCCCAATATTCTTCACCAACCCTTGAACAAGCAGTTCTCTACCATGCAAAATGCTTCTCCAAGCATAAGATGGTCTGGCTCCTAAGGTTGCATTTAAGAAATCAAAGTACGGGAAGTATCTACTCTTCATTAACTGAGAGAACAAACACTCAGGGTTCTGTAGAATTCTCCAAGCCTGCTTAGCTAGAAGAGCCTGATTAAATGTTTCTATGTCTCTAAAGCCCAATCCACCTTGCTTCTAAGAAAGACATAGCTTCTCCCAACTTAGCCAGTGAATTTTCCTAGCATGTTCTTCATTACTCCACCAAAAAGCTGCTATTGCACTTGCTAGATTTTCACAAGTAGTTTTGGGAAGTTTGAAACATGACATCACAAACACTGGCATTGCAAGAGCCACAGACTTCAGCAGAACCTCTTTACCTCCCTGGGACAGAAACCGAGTAAACCAACCTGATAGCTTTGATTTGAGTCTATCTTCTATGTAACTCAGGAGTTCCACCTTAGACCCACTAAAACACTCTGGCATACCTAAGTAGGTTCCTGCTCCACCCTCTTTGAAGATACCCATCTTATTTTGAATCTCTGTCTTCACCAGAGTATTTACCCTCGACCCAAAAGTTATGGACGACTTGGTTAGGTTGATCGATTGCCCAGTAGCCTCTCCATATTTGAGTAAAGTATCTTGCAGAAAACTACATTGATCCAAAGATGCCTTACACATAAAAAGGCTGTCATCCGCAAACAGCAAATGATGAATTTCCGGCCCTTCTTCAATGAATTTAATCCCTTGCAGTTTTCCTTCTACTTGGCCTTTATTAAGCAAGTGGGTTAAACCTTCAGTACACAACACAAATAGAAAAGGAGATAAGGGGTCTCCTTGTCTCAAACCTCTTTGTGGAGTAATCATAGCAAAAGGCTGGTCGTTTATGAGAACCGAGAAAGTTACAGAACTCACACAAGCCATGATCCAATCAACCCATCTGTTATGGAACCCCATCGCCACCAACAGAGCTCTCAAATAACTCCATTCCACTCTATCGTAAGCTTTAGACATATCTGTCTTAACTGCCATAAACTGGGAAGAGATGTCCAGATGAGAATTCATACTGTGAACCGCTTCATGAGCCACTAAAATGTTGTCTGAAATCAATCTTTCAGACACAAATGCAGACTGGTTAATAGCTACAATCTGAGGGAGCCATATCTGAATTCTACTAACCAGGATCTTTGAGATAGCCTTATACAAAACAGAGCATAAGCTTATCGGTCTAAGATCACTCATTTCCAAAGGATGATGAATTTTAGGAATCAAACATAAATGAGTGTAATTCCATTCCTTTGGAAAGATCCCTAACTCAAAGAACCCTAGAATTTCCTTGGTCACTTGTTCTCCAACAATGTTCCAATACTTCTGGAAGAAGAGAGCAGTCATGCCATCTGGACCCGGAGCACTAGAAGCCTTAATGGAGAAAACCGCCTCTTTTACTTCCTCTTCAGAGACCTTCTCAATCAAACCATTATTCATTTCCTCAGAGATTTTGGCTGGAAATTCATCAAACCAGTGATGAAAACTTTGAGGGTTGGATGACTTGAATAGATTATTGAAATACTCAACTGCTACTTCCCCTTTAGCCGCTTCCGATTTCTTGATAATCCCATTAGCATCTTTGAGTTGATCAATCCTTTTTCTAGCCCGGTTTCCTTTTACATAACCATGGAAGAATTTTGAATTTCTGTTACCAGAGCTCAACCATTTTTGTCTGCTCCGTTGACTCCAATAATCTTCTTCTTCTCTGTATGCTTTAACCAGCTCTCTTTTTAGAACATGAACCTGTTGAGGGTTTGGCCATCTTCCAGACTGTACCTTCTCAAGAGCCAGCTCACAATGATGAATTTTATTTCTGGAATTCATCATGTTCTTCTTTTTCCATGAGCTTAAAGCTTTTCTACACTCCCTTAACCTCTGAGAAACCAGAAAACCTCCCCCAATAATTCCAGGTTTCCAAGCCTTTCTCACTGCTATTTGAACCTCTGCTTTATGGAGAAATCTTTTATCAAATCGAAACTGGCCTTTATAAGCGTCTTGAGAAGCCATCAGGCAAAGCAGGACAGGTCTATGATCAGAGCCTCTCATGTCTAAAAACGCTTGGTTAGAAGCCGGGAAGGTATCCAACCAATCTTTGTTCACTAAGGCTCTATCTAGGCAACATTGAATCCAATGGTTGCTAGAACTAGGGAGCTCTATCATCCCACAAACTTCAATCATTTCATTGAAAGGCTTAAAACAATTATCACTTCTTCTCGGCCCTCCAATCTTCTCTCCATTGTGTCTTATGGCATTAAAATCCCCAATCATGCACCATCTATCTCGTCTGCCAATCCCACTTCTACAGATTCTTTCCCAAACTGAACTTCTCAAACTAACATCCGGATCACCATATACACATGATAAGAAGAAATTAGATGCTCCAAACTGTACTTGAACATCAATTAAGTTCTTATCAGCAAACAAAATATCAATTTGTA